TAGCGATGACGACTCATCAGCTTTAGTTGGCTCAGCGGGGCAAATGAGGCTATTACTTTCTGCACGAGATAACTAACACAAAATGTCAACTAAATGCTAATGTTAGATTATATACCAAAGTGGACTCCCTCCGTTCCGACCCGCAGCTTCATCCCAACGTTCAACTCCGTCGTTCGTTTCTGCCGTTCAACTGCACCGTTTGACTCTGCATTCCGTTTGACTCTGCCGTTCGACTTCGCTGTTTCACACGGCCGTTTCACCCTGTTGTTTCACCCCGCAGTTTCTCTCCAACGTTATAGCTCACTGTTTTACCCCACCGTTCTACTCTGCCGTTTTACGCCGCTGTTTCACTCCGGCCGTTTGACTCCGCCGAGTATGGCTCTCGTTTCATCACTCGCTTAGAGTTTACGTTTCATCACTCGCTTAGAGTTTACGTTTCATCACTCGCTTAGAGTTTACGTTTCATCACTCGCTTAGAGTTCACGTTTCATCACTCGCTTTCATCCTCCTGCCTCGTCCCGCGCGTGCAAAAGCGTTCCTCACATCACGTTTGTCAGTATCCAGGACATCAATCATCCTCAATGATTCCACTCCTGCCATTACGGACAATATTGAGACAACATTGTTCATCCAATTAATATAAACTACTGCAATATTGGATTCCCTAGCGGTCGCGGTGGCCAGAAAGCTCCTATTGGCTGGTCGAATCGTAAAAAGTTTTTAGCCATTTCCGAAATGTAGTAGAAGTTTCTTCTTATGCGTTCGGCTTTCATATTTTTCAGAGGATATTCTTCCCAGATTGAATGATCATATTTTGGTTACGTAATAAAACTTGTTATCAAACATGGCACAGTCATTGCAATGCTGCCAGTCCATGATTTCTTTTATTTCTTTAATGCCAACAAAGCAATTAGTTAATGGAGCAGTGAAACAGGCCTACTTGGACAATGGGGAAACGTCTAATATTTTACAGAAAGGAAAATATAAAGCGGTGACTTTGAATGTTCATTTGCACACATATCATTCTTGACTTATGTCTCAGAAAGAACAGCATCGAGCATTTTTATCCTGTTGCAATCGTTTGAAGGATATCGGAATTTATTTAGATAAAATCTCCTCGACGCTGAATATCTAGCAAGTCATCAATCCAAGTCAATGAAACAAATAGATTTTTGTCGTTCACCATCCGCTCAGTTTACCTGAGACTGCCTGGGGCGTCTGAGACGCATTCACTTCATTAATGAAAGTGCAAGAGCCTCTGGCAAAATATTCGTCAATTCATTTGATGCGTTGCTGAAGATCTGTAGCTTCGCCGCGGCAAGAACTACTTCCATTGTTATGGTGTTGAAATAATATAACTATATATCCTGTTATATGACCCAAGGTACGCTAAATGAAGCCCTTCATTATAGTTATAAAGTCTCATATTTTTCGATGGTCTCCACATATTTCGATTACAGAGCTTCTATTAACAAATATAAATAAGCAAATGAATGGAGGCTCCATACCGCGCCAGGTTCAGATGAACCCGGCTTATGTTATACAATTAAGTATAACTCCCTTTGTAGAACCAGTGATTTCCATAGAATTATTATATACAAGAGTACCGCCCTTGCCGTGGGGGCAGTGCAAAATAGTCTGAAAAGCTTGCATGGTTGTAATAATACCAGCGCAGGAAGCTCTATTGCGAGGCATGCATACAGCCTGCTCTGCCGAGTAAATTACACGTTTTTTGCGCGATTCTCGAAATCTTGTTCAATGTAATCGTTATCCCTCCCGGAGGCTTTGAAATTTTCGAAATTTTATTATATTCGTTTTAATGTGAGCCAATTAGACGTTTTTTCTGGCCCATTTACCGGTACTGTTTTAGCTGTGTTTCGTACACAAAAGTAATGGAGGTTTGAAAAATGAAAAATTAAAATTTTCAAAATGGTGCATAGTGTAAATTGCTCTTTTACCTTTGCACCGCATGTCCATGTTCCTGCGAGAGTATCTGCTTGTTACTGAACACCACGTTATTTTCACCCAAATTATACAAAGCAATTAGGAATGCATCATGTTCAATGTAATGAGCATCGGAATGATAAGAAATGCTTTGTCCTTTTTGTTCATTTCAAGATCCATTATTCAGGTTGGTTTCTGAAGTACTTGAAAAATACAATGAAATATTTTTCATCTCTATTAAATAATTTTCTGCTTCAATAACTCAATTTTAGAAACAAGTTCAGCACACGGAATGTTTTAAGCCCCCTACATTGATTTCGCCACAACACTTACACGCAAAAAAATCCGGTCTTTGTGTACGAAGTTTTGTCATTATTTCCAGCATTGGAAATTTTCCTCACCAACTTCGCTTTGTTAACATTGTTGAGCATTGATTAGAAACTTACATTGTACGGAGTGGCAGGCAAAAACTATTGTTACTCTCTGACCCTTTCAATAATAACAATATAGGAGAGAAAAGTGATGTAGGTGCGAGTTGAAGCACTCACTTTTATGTCATTCAATTACCCTTTCACATTCACACTTGTTCCGCGCATGACACATGACGAACAAGTTCACATCATATAAATCCAACTATTACTGCTTCTGAAGATAGAAATTTCGTTGCACTTGATTCAAGTTATTAAACTCTGAAATATACTCCCATCAGCCAGTAAAATAAAAGTTATATTCTCGCATAAAAGGTTCAGATGTATTTCTACCATACAAGGAAAATTTTTTCCTATGTTTAATTTTTATTATGAAATTCAAAAAGTATCGACAAATTTTCAAAGAAAAGCTTTTAACTTTATTTCCTCAGCTCTTACATTTTTTTTAGATCTTCCGCAAATTTCGACAATAATGAATGCCATTTCTAGTGTACAGAAACCTAACTTAAATTCGGCACCACCAAGAAACCGTATTCAATTGTTTTTGTACTCACAGACCATAAGTTTCCACGGCCCTTGCGACAGAGCTTCATGGGAGCATACGCTATGAAAACAACAGAGCCATAACTCAACTCTAATTACCCGTGAAGTCCTCGATAACGTGTCATTAGAATCGTAGAAATCCTTCACCATATGCTTTTCCAGTGAGGTGTCTGGGAGTTATAGCGTAAAATTAAACTGTGCCGACCTACGATGCTCGAAGAAGAAGGGAAAATAAAGTTTTTCATCGCTTTGTAAAGTATGTATCAGAGTCGAGCAGCGTGCGCAAGAAATGGCTTAAGTTGCTGCAAGCTCATAGGAAGCCAGCGTGAACACCGACATGGCTAGCGCGCTACCATCTTGTCATTCTACTGAAATATTAACTTTATTAGGAATACGTAGAATATAGAACGTTTCCTTTACCATAATAAAAAAAATCGTTACTAACTCTTTCATTAATGCTCTGTGTGAACGAACTCGTTGATTTGGTTAATTGTTTCCGTACTGCACTTGTTAATCGTTCCGGTGAGAATTTTTCAATAACCCATAATACTTTAATCCTTTAATTGCGCTGCGAGTTAGGCAAGGGGGTTTAGAAATATGAATAGCCTTAATTTAGCATGCAAATGGTCTTCATTTTTCCAATAGATTTTTTTACGCTTAATCAATAACTTTAACTACTCACTTCGATCTAGAGCGCGAGAGTATATACGGCTCCAATAGAAACAAATATCCTCCATGTAACATGGACTCCTCCATGTAACATGGACTCCTCCATGTAACATGGACTTCCTCAAAGCGTTTCCCTGGTGGAAGAAATTTATTCTACGAAATCAAAGCAAAAATAATTAATCTAACCATCAAATGAGTCCTCATCTCAGCTATAAAGATGGTAGTTGTGCGGGCGCTGTCGCACAAGCCTATAAAGGCCTATACCACTCGAAACCCAACACCAGCCAAGGCGCCCCCAAAGGCTGGACCGAACAATCTTTCACAGACTCGTTGATATGAAGTAAAAAGTTTTGAGCCAATCATGTTTTTCCACCAAAATACCTTCGGAAGCGACAATTATGATAAGACTTCTTCAGTTTTCGTTGTTGTCTATATAGGTGACTGACGCGTTAACATTCCAATTGCGACTAAGCCGTCATTCTTAACTGCGTATAAGCAGTATTATATTATATAAGCAGTATTTTGCGATCTAACAACGCCAGGCAAAAACACTGCTTCACTACTAATAAAACGAACCAGAAAATCGTTAATAAATAAATACTTCCAGAGTATTTCTTACTGTTGCCGCGAGCGCTGCCGTCGTGGCGAAGTGGCGCATCAAACGTACTCGCTTCTGACTCGCTGAGCTCGCAATTCATTAATGGGGAAGTTTCCTTATGAACTTCTGCTCTTACACTGCAAGTTAAAGACGTCAATCCTGCACTAAAATCAAAACTGCTGCGGGATAACGCTTGGGTTTTAGCTTCATGGAATCAAACTTTGAAACAATACAACTTTTTTCTAACCAATTGTATAGCTTGCCTCCGAACAATAAATAAATTTTACTCCTGCCTCCGAAATTTATTTTGCTTTTATATTTTAATATTTTTGTTGGATCATGCTGGCAGCCTTCGCGCTAAGTTTTTCAAATGCACTACATTGATTCTCAAACTATCGTCTCACTTCGTTCGCAAATCTGAAAATAGAAAAAATTGACTATCCATCTGTACATCACAAAATTTCGTTCAAATTTTTATATGCATTTGGAACACTAAAAAACACTTTCTTTTCTCCTGCGTATTCATTGCATTTGTACTTTGGAGATCGCAAGCAAATTTCAAACGAACTTTTTCCTCGTAGCTTTTGCTTTGTAAGATCTGATTAGTAATCTGCAAGCCAACAGATTTTAGTTCCAATTATTCTCCTCCACGGTTTCATAAAATCTATGCAGTTCTTTTTTTTTGGGCGAAGTTATATAATAATAACAATAATATCTATAAATTTCTTGTTTTTTTGTAAATAAACAAGCTAACACTACACAAAAACAAATTTCTGTAAGAAAGCTCGGTTTGTAATATACATTATTTATTGTGACAGGCGGCGCTTGTATGGCCACCCTCGGACGGGGTACAGCACAAGGGTGGGGGAGTTGTGGGAGGCTGTGGGGGAGGACCTGGTATCATCGATGGGGGAGTTGTCAACGGAGGAGGCAATTCCTCGCAACATCAAACCCCTCAGAACCTCATGCACTGGATGAGCTTCATGGCTGAACAGATGAACAACCCTCACCACGAGGCGTCCCCTCACTACATGTGGAACGGCGTCGAGGTGAGTGCCTTGTCTGCGTCTCGTTTACTTGACATATTTTTCAATTATTTTGAAACATTTCCTATATTGTTTAGTCGTTTTATGTGCTTAGGGATGAGATATACCATATTATTTATTATAAATGACTTTTCCTAATCCCGGTCTGTTTCAAAATTGTACTCGACTATCAACTATATAATTGTACTCGTATCTTGGCCCCTAGCTACAGGCCAAGATTCGATATTTACATTTGATAGTCCAAAAAATGACCGTGATACCGCAAAGAATAATAGTATATACTAAATGCACACAGTTTGGGACTAACAATCTTAAACCAGTCATCTCATGTGTGGTAACATCAAAGTAAATTCCGGCGATATAGATGAAATTCGAAAAATCTTACGAAATGCACCACTTGTATTTATATTATTGATAATTCTTTGACGTTACTCGGCGGTTGCGTTATAGCAGAGCTTCAGTCAATTCTTTTATGACCAATAACAGAAATTTGACCTCAACCATATGAGTCTAACTTTTATTTTCTTGCGAAATGATGCACTTTTGTTCAAGATTATCATAACAATTTGTTTCACATAGTAAATCCAAATTCGTACCCAGGAGTGTCATTACGAAACGCAGTAATATCAGCTCTCGAGCTTCTGTGTATGATCGTAAAGTGAGCGCGGGTTGGTTAATGAAGCCACATACGCAACAGCACATCTGAAATGTCGCCCCCTAAACTGAACCATGGACGTAATATCGACGGCCTCCCCGTGGCCGAGAACAGCAGGCGATAATTTACGAATGATTGATACTAAGGCAGGAGGCGTGTTGGTCAGGCTACGACAAGAGCCAGGCACTCATGGATTAGCTTGAGGGCAGAGGCAGCCTTGCGTGGTGTGGTATTACTTCCATGCCTACCAGTCTGCTCCAGCCTGCCCCAGCCTGCCCCAGCCCGCCCTAACCTGCTCCGACCTGCTCCAGCCTGCTCCAACCTGCTCCAACCTGCTCCAGCCTGCCCCAGCCTGCCTCCAGCCAAATAGTCTAGCCCCAGCCTGCACCAGCCTGCCTCCAGCCAAACAGTCTGACCCCAGCCTGCCCCAACCTGCCCCTAGCCTACCCCCAGCATGTCTCCATCCTGCCCATAGCCTGCCGCCAGCCTGCCTCCTATCTGCCCATAGCCTGCCTCCAGCCTGCCCTCAGCCTGCCTACCCCCGGCCTGCTCACTTCTGCGTCTAATGATGAAACACGCGATGCCAACATGACCGAACTTGTGACATTCTTCAGCCAGCCTTTTTGTGAACCCATTATTGCTGCCTTTAACAACATCATTCATTAAATTATAATTTGAAGATTCAACAGATCACAGCAGCTGTACAGTTCTGGCCTTAAAACTTTTATGATAGTGCCAGAAACTTGGAAAATATATTTTTTTTTCTTAATTGTTAGTAAAAGTCACTGCGTGGACTCCGCCACGACATTTCACACCAAACCAAAACTATTCACACCTCTTCACCTGCTTGTGTCACTTTCTTGTGTCACCTGTTTGTATCACTTGCCTGTGTAATTTGTTCGCTGAATTTATCTTCTATACAGGAAATACCTGACTTAATTTCTCTCCTACGTTGCGAGCGTACACGACGAGTTCTTAACTTGCTCATCATCAATTAATCTTTACTCCGCGTGAACGAAGTGTGCAAGTGATGCATTCTTGTGTAGTTTATGTAAGCATCGGGCAACTGTATTTCTATCTGACCTAATATCCTGGAAACGAAGCATGCAATTGTGGGTGAACTTGTAAAATGCTTGAGAATAGCAGACCATCACGGCGGCTGCTTGAGATTTGTAGTCCTTACATATATCCCTATATATCTATATAGGGATATATACCCCTATATCAATATATCCCTATAAATCCCTATTTATCACTAGTTATTATATCCCCTGTTGTGCTTATATCCTCCTATTTCATCGTCCTCACAAATATCAAATAATTATTAAGCTTAAAAATATTGTTCATTGAGAGACCCATCAAAACCATCAATTATCAAGGAACGGTCTTTAATCCTCAGCTTAAAATTTTCAAGGAAACTGTTTTGTTTTTATTTAAATTTCAACAGTTAAATGCAAGAATTTTTTCGCAGTGCCTCAACATCCTACAGCTTAACCTACTGTGTCACGTCCAGGTAGCTTCTCAACTCAACAGATGCTTTTTAATTGTGCTATAATCATCATTTTATATCTATGGCGTTATGTATCAAATGAACACTTTAATACGCAGTTATAATATGTAATAATATTCATATGTATAATATGAATTGCTTAAATTGGCACGCAAAGATTTTTTCATACATTTTGTGTACGTAATTTCACACATGAGAATCCATCATATCACAAATTCGTCGTTCAACTTTGAATCGCTTATACATCCCGTTAATGGATCACAACTTCTTGAGACGCATTTTGTATTAGTTGAAAATCCCACTTAGAGATCGACAGGCATTATTGTGTCGTCTCACACTGAAACAAAGCGTTACGGATGTCATTAAATACGAGACGATTTTAATCTTAATTGAGCCAATGCTACCAAAATTTTTACATACCGGTGCTGCATATTTTACCGCAAATGAATCAAATCAGACATAAAAATCGAATTTCCATAGTATCACGAATTAAATATTAGATTGAGTATTAAAATTTACGTTCAGTAATAAAGTTTGATCATCACTTCACAAAGGAATGTACTATATTTACATCCTAACATTTTATATAGCAGCTTGCGCCCTATAAGGAAGAGCTACTATATAAGCTGAGAGCCACCGCTGCCGTGCCGATAAAACAGCAGTTGCAGCACACGGACAGAACCTCTGGCTACCTCATTTTACGTGTCTCAAACTACCCATAATTCCGATACTTGGATTCAGCTTAACAACTCCCTTGGCGCACGCGGCCTGTTTCTGTTTTATCTATAAATTCTATCGCCAGGCGAGGCTGCGGTACTGAAGAAAACTTGAAAGAAGCAGAATGTATGTGAATGTATGTGTTTAGTGAATGTATTGCTCAATGTTTAGAATATGCCAACATGACCGAACTTGTGACATTCTTCAGCCAGCCTTTTTGTGAACCCATTATTGCTGCCTTTAACAACATCATTCATTAAATTATAATTTGAAGATTCAACAGATCACAGCAGCTGTACAGTTCTGGCCTTAAAACTTTTATGATAGTGCCAGAAACTTGGAAAATATATTTTTTTTTCTTAATTGTTAGTAAAAGTCACTGCGTGGACTCCGCCACGACATTTCACACCAAACCAAAACTATTCACACCTCTTCGCCTGCTTGTGTCACTTTCTTGTGTCACCTGTTTGTATCACTTGCCTGTGTCAATTGTTCGCTGAATTTATCTTCTATACAGGAAATACCTGACTTAATTTCTCTCCTACGTTGCGAGCGTACACGACGAGTTCTTAACTTGCTCATCATCAATTAATCTTTACTCCGCGTGAACGAAGTGTGCAAGTGATGCATTCTTGTGTAGTTTATGTAAGCATCGGGCAACTGTATTTCTATCTGACCTAATATCATGGAAACGAAGCATGCAATTGTGGGTGAACTTGTAAAATGCTTGAGAATAGCAGACCATCACGGGGTCTGCTTAAGATTTGTAGTCTTTATATCCCTATATATCCCTATATATTATACCCCTGTAGTCCTTATATCCTCCTATTTCATCGTCCTCACAAATATCAAATAATTATTAAGCTTAAAAATATTGTTCATTGAGAGACCCATCAAAACCATCAATTATCAAGGAACGGTCTTTAATCCTCAGCTTAAAATTTTCAAGGAAACTGTTTTGTTTTTATTTAAATTTCAACAGTTAAATGTAAGAATTTTCATGTCATCCTACAACTAAAACTACTGTGTCAGGTCCATGTAGCATCTCGACTCGACAGATGCTTTTAATTGTGCTATAATCATCATTTTATATCTATGGCGTTATGTATCAAATGAACACTTTAATACGCAGTTATAATATGTAATGAATTGTTGAAATTGGCACGCCAAGATTTTTTCATACGTTTTGCGTACGTAATTTCACACATGAGAATCCATCATATCACAAATTCGTCGTTCAACTTTGAATCGCTTATACATCCCGTTAATGGATCACAACTTCTTGAGACGCATTTTGTATTAGTTGAAAATCCCACTTAGAGATCGACAGGCATTATTGTGTCGTCTCACACTGAAACAAAGCGTTACGGATGTCATTAAATACGAGACGATTTTAATCTTAATTGAGCCAATGCTACCAAAATTTTTACATACCGGTGCTGCATATTTTACCGCAAATGAATCAAATCAGACATAAAAATCGAATTTCCATAGTATCACGAATTAAATATTAGATTGAGTATTAAAATTTACGTTCAGTAATAAAGTTTTATCATCACTTCAGAAAAGGAATGTACTATATTCACATCCTAACATTTTATAGACCTCGCGCCATAAGAAATGCGCCCTTAGGAAGAGCTACTATATAAGCTGAGAGCCACCGCTGCCGTGCCGATAAAACAGCAGTTGCGGCACACGGACAGAACCTCTGGCTACCTCATTTTACGTGTCTCAAACTACCCATAATTCCGATACTTGGATTCAGCTTAACAACTCCCTTGGCGCACGCGGCCTGTTTCTGTTTTATCTATAAATTCTATCGCCAGGCGAGGCTGCGGTACTGAAGAAAACTTGAAAGAAGCAGAATGTATGTGAATGTATGTGTTTAGTGAATGTATTGCTCAATGTTTAGAATGAAAATATCTTTACTTAAAAATATGCATATTTATTAATGTGTAATACCCTGTCATATTGTGTGAATGAATTTAAGATATTGCAACTAGAATTATCTAGCAACAGTTATTTTTTGCCAGACAATACCAAGGCTCTGCGAGGGAAACTTCATAATCTGAACAGCAGTTTTGCATCCGTCCAAATCCATTTTTTAAATGAACTTTCGTT